TTTGTTTAAATAATTAAAAAACATTTTTTTTTTTTTAAAACAACTGAAGTTCCCCCACTAATTTGAAAATGCATCTCTGATCAAAATCACATAGTTAAACACCTTTTAAAAATGAATACTGTTTCTTCATGCCTTAAGGTGACTTAAGGCCTAAGGATTAAATCCAATGTCCCTCATTTACAGTAATATATGCAAATTAGCTCAGACCTTGTCTGTTTCATTCAATCAAACTGTATTATTAAATGCTACACAATTCCAAGTTGAAGTATATAGATCAAAAACCCCTTAATGACTCATTTTCCTATAGTGAAACTGTAGCTTGCAGCACCTGTGAATGGAGTAATACTTTATATAAATGCTTGCCTCAGACAAGTCATAGACTGTTTTCTGAATGTCTGAAATATGAGGCACACAAAACTGAAATCATTTCAGGAGTGTCAAAGTCATCATTTGATTTTATGCATTCCACAACATTTCTGACCGCCGTCACATTCTTTGATAAACTACAAACAAAGCTGTCATGTAGAAGGAAGTTACAATTGTGACTATTAACACTTATCAAGATCAACTATACCATGCAATATTATACATAGAAAGGGTGTTCATGGATCTGGACATCCTTTTTCTACAAAAACAAAAAAATTTCATAATAAAAATGAAGATAGAAAAGGTTTTGGGACACATTAGTTCTGTTTCTAACAGGTGCTTGGAGTCCTTGAAAATACTTGAATTTGAATTGAGTGTTTTCAAGGTTTGAAAAGTGCTTGGATTTCAATACAGTGCATGAAACTTGTAAATGCTATGCATTCATGGCAGTTAATCTAACTAAATAGTTAATAATAATTAACTATTTAAATAAAATGTAACATTCTATTTAACATTAAATACTATTTAATTCAATTCTAACCACACTGAACTCAACTTAAACTCTGAAAACTTCACTGACACTGTTTCAATTTTCTATGATCTTCTATGTTAGCTGCTGTTACACAATCTACATTGTAAAAGGGCCATAGAAATAAAGATGAATTGAATTAAAATAAATCGTTATAAAGAGAGTAAATGTCTGTTATTCAATGTTAGGGTTGGGACAAAAACTTTACTTTAAATACTATCCTATGGAATATTCTAACAAATAGCATCTAATATAATGTGATCAAGTACAGTATACACTTTATTAGGTGCACCTTATTAGTACTGTGTTGGACCCCCTTTTGTCTTCAGATTTTCCAAATTCTGACCCTACCAACCAAATGTCACAGCAGAAATCGAGAACCATCAGACCAGGCAATGTTTTTTCCAATCTTCTATTGTCCAATTGTAATGAGCCTGTGTGAATTGTAGATCAGCTTTCTGTTCTTAGCTGGCAGGAGTGGCACCCGGTGTGGTCTTCTGCTGCTGTAGCCCATCTGCCACAAGGTTGGATGTGTTGTGCATTCAGAGATGCTCTTCTGCATACCTCGATTGTAAAGAGTGGTTATTTGAGTTACTGTTGCCTTTCTATCAGCTCCAACCAGTCTGGCCATTCTGCTTTGACCTCTGGCATCAACATGGCATTTGTGCCCACAGAACAGCCGCTCACTGGATATTTTCTCTCGTTCAGACCATTCTCTGTAAACCCCAGAGAAATCATCGTCCTTCCCCATTCTGATGCTTTGTTTGAACTGCAGAAGATCGTCTTAACCATGTCTACATGCCTAAATGCATCGAGTTGTTTGCATATTATTGGCTGACTAGAAATTAGCATTATCGAGCAGTTGGACAGGTGTATCTAATAAAGTGGCTGGTGAGTTTGTATATATGTATGTAATTATATAATTTTCCACACTTGTATAGTGTAGGAAAAGTTTAAAATTTGGACCTAAATTTGACTTTGGAAAAGATGCAAGAGCCCTGTGTTTAGATTAAAGATAATATAATGCTTGATAATAGAAAGATAATAGAAATGTATGTCTTTAAAACACTGCAGTTTTAAGGAGAAAATGTTCTGCCATAATGTCACCTGGTGAATTTACACATGATATATCTTTAAAGGAGTTCTTTACAGTCCTTTAAAGGACTCTTTTACAATACCTTTCTCCCCAGCCTGGTAAAAACAGGCTTGATTTGATCCAGGTTTGATGAAGACATGCTTTCTTAAAAACTAAATGTGTTGTGATTGGATAACTGTCATATGCTGTATAACATTTGTTTTGGGTTGAAGACAATTTAATACATGAATACAGCAAACCAAAACATTTATGCTTAGTAAAATATACAATGATGTCCATGGATCTATGCTAATCATTTTACATGTAATCTGACAGTGTGTGTTATTAACAACAGATACACACTGTTTAGCTAACTATAACATTTTGATAAAACGTTTTAACACACAATAAAGTCACTTACTTTCATGGAGTTTGGGGGAGGTTGAGGTGTTTTCATGTTGTAAATCCAGCAGCTCTAATCCATAGACTATTAAAGATAGTGTTTGTGACGTCACCCATAGGTTTCTGAAGAGAGCAAAAGAAGCCACAAATAGGCGTGGCCAACTGTCACTATTTTGGTCGCGCATCATCACGCCGAACAGGGGTAACCAAAAAAGGGCAAAGAGGCAGAGTGTGAGCGGAGCTACAGACGCCTGCTAGCATGTTGCTTAGACAGGCCTTTCTTTTGGAGAAATACTTAATACTTCATTACCTGCGACTCGTTCTGACCACATGTGTTTAGTCTTTTAAAACACTGTTGTAATAGATTGAGCCACTAAACATTGTTCTTGTGATGCTTTTCTACAGGAGGAAAACACAAATTACTTTCAAACACTTCAAGTACAGTCTGTGTTAGTAAATGCAAGGCTTTTTATAAAATTCAGGCATAACACTGTATGACAACATTTTAGACGACTGTTCCAGAGCCTACAGCTAATTAATCTGTCAGATTCTGAAGTACATTACAGGTCTAAAGAAAAATATAAATGATAAATGATCTTACATAAAACAAATACATTTATAGAGATGGTATACAAGTATATCATTTCATTTCTTTTTTTGGAGCCAGGCCTGGCGGAATTTTGATGAATTGCAGTTTCAGTTACTTCTGTATTCGCTTCATGAGGGAGAGCGGGATGTTGCCGCTTGCTCTAATCTCTCCACTGCAACCCCTTAGTCATCATTAGTCAAACAATATTACCATTAAGAAATACAAATCTTACAAATATTTTATCATCGAAATATCAATTCATTCCTAATAATATCAAATGGAGAAACATTTTAGGCATGCACGTATATAGCAAGACATGCCTGAGTTATTAAAGTTTTTGCCCCTCCCAACCATTCACATTTCCATAATCGGCTAAATGAGACATTTGTTGTAGCTTTTAAAAAAAAGAGATTTAAATAACAAACAAACAAACAAACAATTTATCTCCTTTTGGCGTAATCTTTGATCTTTCTAATATCTTAGGTTTTTTATGCCACATATACAACATTCAAAAAATGAGAAAGCATAACAGGCCAGCTTTTAACATATTAAAAATGTTGTGACAAAATGTGCCATCAACGTTTTGTTTTTAATTTACAGCCTATTTTGTTTAGCAATTTCATTTTCATTACTTTTTTTGCTAATATTTCAAATGCTTTCTCTTCAGGAACATTATTCACGGCAGTGATTCTGTGGAAAGTGCCAACACTGAGATCAACCTGTGGTTCAAACCAGATGAGATCTGCGATTACACCAAATGTCAGGAAAGCTGGATCAACAGCTAAATGCTTCCTTCTTTTCCGGCACATTTCTCCCTTTCTAGTGTTTCTCCATTAATGTACACTTCCCCCCCACCACTGTTTCTGGTGTCTGTCTTTACAATAAAACCAAAAATCATTTCTACCCCATAAGTTGGATGGCACAGTTTCTGGTTTTACAAACCAAAAGTTATGACAGCAGTCACACAATTCAAGAACTGATCTCTTGATGCTTTATCATTTATTAAACATAATACTTCAAGTAGTTCAAATAGATCAATTCGAGGCCTTTTTTTTTTCATTTCTTGTATAGTACTGGTGGTCGTGCTCAGGCAAAGCAGCAGACCATGTCTTTAAAATGTTGACAATGCCACAAAAAGCACTGCGATAAGGAATGAACTTGGGAAATAAAGTACACAGTGCTGATTTCAATGATACTGTAGCACCAGCGCTCCATTAAAATGCTATTATGCCACATAATACAAAACCTGCTTAGAAAAAAGCATGCAAGAACAGGATGATCTGTCTTGTCACAATTATTATATACACATACACACACACACACACATATATATATATATATATATATATATATATATATATATATATATATATATATATATATATATATATATATATATATATATATATATATATATATATATATATATATATATATATATATATATATATATATATATATATATATATATATATATATATATATATATATATATATAT